GCAGGAATTCCTGCTCTGTGTGGGTCCTGTGTCAGTGATGTTTCTCTGCACTGACAGTGCCCATCTGCAAAGGGTGTTCATCTCTTGTGACACGGTCTCCCCATAAGCACTTCAGGACAGCATGAGGTCACCTTACCATGAACATTTGTGGTATGAACATAGCTGGGGAGATACTTAGTATCCAGATTAAAAGTAAACCTACTGAGAAGCTTAAGCTTAGGCTTTTTTATTGGACTTGATCTTCAAAAGTTGTGCGATCCAGAGGGGTGAGAGACTTCAGAGGGCATTCAGGCAGAGCAGCATGTGTGGGTTAACACAGTTGTGGCAATGTCCTGACTGCTGGGACTCATTGGGATGTGCTTCAGAGCAGGAGTTCACAGGAGGTCCTAGTGGTGAAATGTTTGCCCAACAATGTAAAAGATGAATGTGCTGGATGTTGTGGAATAGAAATATTTAACAGATAGCAGATCATGGGGTGTGCCAGTGTTTTGCTGAATTCAGGCTTTCCTACACACACACAGGCTTCCCAGTGCCCCTTATTGATTGCCTGCTCTTAGTGACTGGACTTGGTCTGTGAAAGATTTGTTATTCTTTTGATGAGAAAGGCAGAGCTGCTGTTGTCATTCCGTGGTGGCTGCTGACCTGTTGAGTGTTGGAGGGCCACTGGCTGCTTTCTTCTTATTTTTTCCCATGGCTGCATATTGAGAAGTGGGAGGTTTTTTCCCTTTCCAACAGATAGGGAAATTCAATGGCACTGTATGAAGCTTTCTTACCTTGGAACAAAGCTTGGTTTACTAAACAGTATGAGCTGCATCCCTTCCAGGCTAGTCCTTGGGGTTTCCTTTAAGTTGGAGCAAGTCTTTTTGGCTGGTAATATTGCTTATTTTTTACAGAGAACAGAACAAAACATATGGCTATAAAGATTGGGAGTGGGAGGCTGTTCTTGTATTGAGCTACTAGTGTGACCATCCTGGAGACGAGGCAGCTCTTTGCCTCTGTACCAGGCCAAGATTCCAAGTAAACAGGAGAGCATACAGGACACAGGTGGAATTTCCTCAGGAAATACTGTGTACAGTTCTAGTCACCTGTGTTTGGCAGCTAAATTCAATTTGGACACAGAGGCAACTTGTTATCCCCAAGTTTGACAGGGATATGAAGGAAGGGAAGAAAACTAGAGGGGTTAAATGACGATATAACACAAACACAAACTGGGCTTGATATGAGTAGAAAGCTCCTGCTGTTGGGTGCTGAAGACTTTATTTTAGTGAAGGTAAAAACATGTGGAACTTGATAAGCTTTGTTGCCTTTATAACATGGTATCTGTAATAAGGCATAAGATAACTCAAGCCTTCTCCTTGAGCTGTAAGCAATTTTGTTGCTTGCAATGTCCATTTTAGTAGTGCAGCTTACAAACATCTTCAGTGTGTTTATCCTATTGTGCTTTTTACAGGTGGAGTATAGAGAGATGGATGAGAGTCTTGCAAACCTCTCAGAAGATGAGTATTACTCCGAAGAAGAGAGAAATGCTAAAGCTGAGAAAGAGAAAAAACTACCCCCACCACCTCCACCAGCCCCTGCAGAAGAAGAGAATGAAAGTGAGCCAGAGGAGCCATCTGGTGAGTACAAAGAGGCCTTCTCCTCTAACACTGCTTACGTAGTTCATTATCAGAAATGAAGCAGGCCCAGGTGTGGCATCATGAATCTTGGTCTGTTTTTGATCTGGTTTTGAATGATTGTTCCACAGTGCTTTATTTACTGGCCCTATGTGTGGAAGGAGGGGGAAAATTCAGAAGAGCAGCAGAGTTACAGATGGGAATATGTATGAATCTAATTCTAAACGAAGCCAGACATCTCATGCTGGATTCTCATGATCCTTATTGACTTGGCTTTGAAAGCTTATTGACCAGAACAGCCTCTTTGGCTCTCTGCTGCCACACCTGTTTGTGTACCAGCATTCACTTAGACCTCTGAGGGATAAGAGGTTGGGTTTGGGGGAAGGTTGCTATACAGAAGAACTGATTTAATCTACTGTGATTCCTGTGGCTTTAAACTATGACTCTAATCTTAAGTTCTGGTTGGATACCGTTTGCTTAAACTCAGTGCTTTCCTCATTGCCTTTGACAGAGCTTCAGTTCTCATTGGGAAGTTCTTTGGTCACTCTTGTTCAGGAGGCAGCTTTTGAAATTTGAGGCAGTAGCAGTGCCCTGTCCTTTACCTCTGTTGTGTTTACAGCTCCCACCGTAAGTGAGGTCTGGTGGTGATGTGTCACTGCTGTCTTCAAGATCATGCTTCTGCCAAGTTCAGAGTCAGAGGTTTCATGATGTGTGTACTAGATGATCTGAGACAAGAGCTAAAATCTAGTAGTTGAATTTTTGCAGGTTCATCACCGATGTGAATTGTCGTTAGTCTTTGGTTGTACTGCTCTCCTGGCTAGCAGGTCTGAGAGTAGGACTGACATTGCCTTGGGTGTACCTACCTTCAGCTGCAGAACAAAATATTGAAAGCCAACGTTGTATTTTCTCTTAGGATTTGCCCTTGTGACCTCTCCTGTTGCAGCTGTTGACTCCTGCCTTGGTGCAGGAATACTATAGCTCATACACTTGACTGAAATATTTGCATTGATAAAACCCCTCAGTTGTAGCTAATGTATCAAAAATGAAATTTTAGTAGGTGTAATTAAGTAATTATCTGAAGTTTACTGTTTAATCCTAGAGACCAAATATTAATGAATTTTTTGCTTCCTTCAGATTCCATTTTGTGTCTTTAAAAATTATTATTGAAATCAGCTTGAGGCATAATCAGTGATGTACAGTGAATCACGTTTTATTCCGTGAAGGAAGAAGCATGGTAGATGAGCAGTGATGTGTCATGCTAATCTATACACACAACAGCCTATTAAGCAGTTGTTCTGCAAGCTCTATATTGAGTCATCTAAATAAAATCAAATTTCATACAGGCAGTATCTAGCTGCCTAGAAATGAGTAGGTTTCAGGTCATCATGTAATTTCTCCATTCCTAGAAATCCTCTGGTATTCATGAAGTGGTGAAATAGGAAAAGGACAGATTTTCAGTTATCATTCCATAGCTAGTCTTGCTTTAGTTTTAAAGGCTCCTGAAACTAAATGTTTATGGAACTCCCTGGTTTTGTCTTTATTAATACTGGTGTCAAGAGCATCAAGTTATCTCATGCTGGCTGGTAAAGGGTGCTGAAATTTCTGATTCAACCACTCATTAAGAGGAGGCATGGAGCTTGCTATATGTAAAAGCAGTGTTTATAATTGAGGTTTTCTCTTTCTATCACTTTGAAGCAAAACCAAAAGTGTTCAGTAAGAAACATTAAATCAGACAGTAATACCAGAGCAGAATTACTAGAATTACATATTGAAAATCTAGCAAAACAGGGAAAGTTATCCTGTGTATTATTGTTAATTTATTCTCATTGTAAACCTTAACAATCTCCTTTCTGTGTTTAGGGCTGTAAAAACACAGTAGAGGTATAAAGCTGTCATGTTACAGGTTATGCCCTTTGGAGTTCAAAAGCTGATTGTGCAGTTTGAAACTGTCCTGCTGCCAGTGTCTGGTATCTCACTGTCCCCACAGACAGCTCACAGTAAAGGAGGTTGCAGGTGAAGGCAAAAGGCTGGTCTTGTTTGGGGTAGATCCCATCCATGTGTTCAGCTGTGGGGAATTCCAGGAGTTTTGGCTATGCAGATTGTTACTGGATTTGCCAGATTTACTGCATGCTATTGCAGAGCAGTTTGAAAGGGTGTGGCAGCATTTCATGATTGAGATACTCTAAGGAAATTGTCTCTTCTCTTTTCACTCGAGGAATATTGCCTGATAGCAGAAAGCTTCCAAACTCCCTTTCAGTGCTGAAAGACCTTTGTTATCTTGTTTGCCAATATCCCTTTTGAAATGAACAAGTTAGCTACTTTTGGTTTTCTCCTCTAAGATTCTTTTTGTTTTCCCTAACCAAACCGCATCTTCGTTTTGGTAACTATGGAGGGTTTTCTTTACCAGCTCTTGGCCTTTTAGAGTTGTCAGTGTTCTTACCTTGTGATAATCCCATGTTCTAGCTGCTGTTTTCCAAGGAACTGAATATGATCAGGATTAATATCAAATGAACAGTCAAATTTAGTGGTGCTCTGTCTCTGTCTTTCATCCAGCTTGTCTGTTTTCCTAAATGAATTCAGTACTCTATGATATTCATGTGCAACTGTTCTTTATTTTGAGACAGTGGATGATTGTATGAAGTGGACTCCTTTGTGGACCTTCTTCCTGGTTGCTCTTCAGCTCATGGTCTGTTGCTGTGTTGCCTTGAGCCTTTCAGCAGGTTCTGGCCTTGCATATGTTCTGTTGGGCTGCAGTAGTGCCATGTTAATATGGATCAGTGGTTTGCTTTGCTGCTTTATTCCTTTGCAGCTAGAACTGACTTTCTTTCAGGGAGGGAGAGGCAATCTGCACTAGCTTTGTTTCCACACTTCTGTGCTCAGACTGGGTAGCATTTAGAATTGTGTCCAAGCAAGCAGTTACACTGATGGGAAGAGAGAAATACTGATTTCTTTCTATAAGGAAACAGAGCAATTTTTTTCCCCTCTACTCATTGTCAGTGCCTGTTCAGGATAATGAATGCCACGGGCTGGTGTCAGCAGCTTTTCAATTTATTAACCTATAGAAGGCACAAGTGACACTTTTGTTGCAAATTAATGGCCTGTGCTTGAGTGTCAGTGTTTGAGTTGTGCCTGTCTCTCCCAGAATGGAAGCAGATCTTGAAATGTTCCCAGCAAAATAAAGTACTTACAGTGCAGGTGAAGTAAGGAAATTTCTCTTGCTATGGCAGATGTTAGTTCACAGAATCCTAACTTTGGGACTTGAAGCCTGTCAGAATATAATTTCTTGTCAGTCTCTCTTGTGAGTTTCTGAACTTCCCTACTGGCAGGCTGATTATGTACAAGTACTGACTATGGCTCCTCTGCTGTAGCTGAGTGAAAATGTCTCTTGTTTCAGTTCTTACTGTGTTTTATCTGTAGATGTGTAAAGTTGCAACATTACAGATGTTAATCCAGGTTATTGCAGTATGGAAACATTTGGTTCACTTTGTGTCTTGCTTTAGGGGTTAAATTTGTTGTCAGATGAAATTCCTCTAAGTGTATCCCCTGAGAGCCTCAGATGACATGCTGACAAAATTGTCCACTTGGTCCTAAGCTCTGAAGAGTATTAATAATTGTGTGTTGAGCCTTAGGTTAGGCCTCACTCTTACCTGTTTGGAGATGCCGCCTGGAACAGTTGTGCTCCAGGAAATGGCTGTTACATCCCAGTGACTGTTGCAGCAGTGTGTTTTGGTGGGGGTTGGTGTGGGCTAGCTGACTATTGAAGTGCGTGGTGTGAAGGAGCCCTGGTGCAGCAGCAGCCAGCCCAGCAGCTGCTCTAGAGTAGGCCATGGCCTCCTGCTCTGCAGGTGATGACTTCAGGTGAACATCTGACTGTGGAAGAATGTTGCTTATGAGCTCAGCTCAGAGCTGGGGTCTCCTGTAGGGTGAGCAGAGTGGGAGGTGGCCTGTAGTGGCTTTGTTCCTGCAGGCACTTCTGCTGTACTCATCTCTGTCCTCAGTGTGCTCTGTTCCTGCTTGTGCTGCAGTCCTGTCAAGGCTGCTGTTCAGGGCTTCATGCAGGCTGAGGTAATTCTGAGACTTCTTCAGGTCTTTCAGATGAGTGCTTAGCCTCTCCTCATGTTTCCCTCGTGTGGTATGCTGGAAGACCAATATCTTTCAGTGCTGGGTATTGATCACATCACTGATCAGTGGTATAATGTGTACTTGGCTTCAAAGGCAGCCTTAGTGTCTTAGAACTTCGGCGCGTCAAGGGCACCAAAGCCAAAATAAATGGTCTGAGCCTTCCAAAAGGTGTTCTGCCATCAAGCTTCCAGGAAGAGTTTGTGGCAAAAAAAACCCCCCAAGAATAGGCTCTCCTTAACACAAGAGGCTTTTCAGAATGGTTCAAGCTGTCCCCTTGCGCATGGAGAGACTCTAGAGCACCTAGGGCAAGATTATCATATTCTGAGGGTTTGAGATCCGTAGAATCTGATGGTATCCATCCACCAGATCTTGGCAGTGGGAAATGTAATCTGATTTTTCAAATCCTAGCCATTGATGAAGTTGATCATAAGTATTTAGCCACTAGGAATGCTACGTATTGTGTACTTCTTAATTTCCCATAGAGTCTGATGTAAAGCGTTCCAGTAACACGGGTAACACTTAGAAGATGACAGTTTGGTGCCCTGAATCTAGGCTGCAGAAAATGGGATTCTCAGAAAATGGGTTTAGTTAGTTGGTGAAATTTAATACCTAAAACGCCAACTGCCTGGCCTTTATGTCCAGTATGGTTTAACTTATGGAGTAAGGTCCCTGAGTTCTCCTCTTTCCTTCCACAGGGCAAGCAGGAGGACTTCAAGACGACAGTTCTGGAGGGTATGGAGACGGCCAAGCATCAGGTGAGGGTGGCGTGTGATGCTTGCCACTGAGGAGCAAGAGCCACCAAGTTAGGGATCGATGCTTGCAAGTGCGCATGGGTGTGGTTGTCCCAAATTTAGCAGGAGGTGCAGGAGTTGTATCCCCACCTATGTAAAAAGTCAGGGGGATTTTCCAATTTCAGTTGAGGTCTGTCCCAGCTGCGGAGAAGGGCACTAAACCTGTGTGGAAATGCCTCAGGCCGATCTCTCATCCCTCCACTCCTCTCTATGTTCAGAGGAGTACAGACATGGAAAGAGCTGTTTCTTCCCTAGCCAGTTTGTACCACCTGGACTTCCACAGAGCCCTGGGCTTTAGCACAGGAGACCTTTTTTTCAATTTGCTGAAGAAACAGCATGGGGTACGTTTTTGCTCCCTTGTTTTTGACTTTTGAAAGGGTTTGTGTCTGAGCTGTGTGCCCATGGTTAGCCCAGGAGATATCCTCTGGGCACGTTCATGGTGTGCTGCTCAAGGACTGGTTGTGAATTGCATTTGCCATTTGGCCTCAGAACAGCTACTGGCAGTACTGACTCACTGCTTTATTCACAGGATTGGTGTCTTCACTGTTAAATACTCAGAGTGCTACTGAAAATCTTCCTCCAGCTCTGCCACTTTCATTTGAGGATTAGTGTTTTAAGCAAAGGAGTCAAAGGCTCCAGAACCTATTCTCTACCTCCAAGTTGCTCATTTTGAAGCAAATAGAACTTCAAGATACTCATCTAAGAGTGCATCCTTTGCTGTTCTAAGTAAGGGACCTGAGTACTGTTATGGATCTTACCACTTGCACAGAATTGCTGGCTATTATAAGTCATGGGCTTAAGGATGCATTGCCTGTTTCATTTTCAGGCAGGCATTGGCTGATTGGAAATTCTGGAGTTTTTTTTGTATATGCTGAGAGTATGCTTTCACAATTGTCCAATTCAGCAGCCAAATAACTTTCCTTCAGAGTTTTTCACTTGCAGTTGTTTCAGCAAGTCTTTAAATGAGCAGCATCCCTCAGGATTTCTGCTGTGGGGAAGAAGATAATCAAAACTTCAGCACATGACTTGCTCATGCTGAGTGTCAGGAAGTGCAAAGTGTGTGTGTGTGAATGTGTATGAGAGGAGCTGAGGATCCAGTCTAGGCAGAGCCATTCCATCAGACTGCCCCAAGGATGAGTTTGTGTAGTTCTGAAGTGGAACTCCCTGTAAGGTCTTGCTTTCACGGAACGCAGGCGGTGAGGGTGTGGAATGGGTGGGATTTAATCAGTCTGAAAGCCAAATCTATTTAACTTTGAGCTGTGTAGTTGCAGAAGTAAATTTAAGGACATTCAGTTCTTATAAGATGATCTGATGGTTGGCCAAATAAACTATGTCTTTGCTATTAATAGCTGTGCTTTTTCTAAATTTTAGTATCAAGCGCTGCTGCGGGTTGGGGTTTTCTGGGGGGAGTTTGTTTGTTGGGGCTTTTTTGGGGGAGTTTCATTTGTTTGAGTTTTTTCTTTTTATGGGTTTTTTTTAGGGGGGTGGGGTTTCAGTGCTTATCTGAAGCTATTCTGACATTTTAAAGTTTGGGTGTTGCCATAAAAGACATATGGCCTTGCAAGACCCGCATCCCAATCCACCCTGGAGTTCTTTCCAAAACTGTTAGCGGTGCCGTGTTCTCTGGCTGCTCCATTTGAAGAAGTAAATCCCAAAGCTTTTCCAGAAACTGGTGAGTTGCCCTAAATCCACACATCCACAAGTTTCCTGGTAGTTGGTCACTGCATGGCTTTAGCAGGTACCCAGAGCAGCACACTCTTTTTAGCGTAAGCCTGTGAGAGCAGGAAGGTTCAGCATTTCAGGTTCTCAACTGGCCATTCTCTGAATACTACTGCTGAGATCTTAGCTAACGCTTGATTATCTAGAACCTTGATTAAGCTTTCTTAACATTAATAAAATATCAGAGAATTGGTAACTTTGGTTTGATTTCCATGCCCCAGTTCTACCGAACTCCTATGCAGAATTTGGCACAATTGGGCCAGTGTTAGATGGAAGGACAGCAGGAGGGCTGGGGGTGGTTATTGCTGGAGAAACTGAAGTTCTAGCTGAGCTGTGGGTTTCTATTCCGTAGCTGAATATTAGTGCAAGAAACATTGTGGGTGTGTCAGTGTCTTCTATGTTAATTTTCTTTTACTTGCAGTGCTCTGTAGCTTCTGTTACTAATCTTCTCATGTAGAACTCTTGCAAATGATTACAGTTTTCTTTAGTTTGAGTCATCACACAGTTAGATCTTCTGCTCTTTGCTTGTGAATGAATTGTTTTCAGCTTCACAACCATTTTCTTCCTTAATTTTTTTCATCGCCTTTGGGATGTACAAATGCTTGGAAGTTAGGGGAGTGTGTGGTGGCACCAGAATTGAAAGAGAATTCCTCTCTCCAGTGCAGTAATTTTACTGCTGCACATGGACTTCAGACTTTAAAACAGTAGTCTTGGTTAGTGCAACACACTGCTAGCTTATCTTTTCTTTGATACTTGTTATCTTTTGAACAATTCCAGTTTTAGCAAATGATCTTAATCTTGCTGCTTTACTTGTGGCGTTTTTCCCCTTGGGATGTATTATTGGCTTTTGTCTTTCCAGATAGAGTGCCCTCTCCTCTGTCTGTCCTGATCATAAGTCACTTCCTACAACGTGGGAGAATTGTATCGTTCTTGCTGTATTTCACATCTCAGTACTTTGGTTTGCTTGCTCTGCCTGCAAGATTTGCTTTCTGCACTCTACTTGTGCTATAGCACTCGATGCAGCTGTGTCTTAGTTACTTACCTGTAGTATAACCCCACAGAGACTGAGGAGAGCAGAGTACAGAGCTGTAGCTACCTCAGTGCCAGTGTGTGAACTGATAGATGTGCAGGTGCCTGGATGAATGAAGGCTTTTCGTAGAGAAAACCTGTCCTGTGTGGGTTCAACATCAGTATGTTACACGTGGAGCATTTCAAAGGAAAAGTAAGAAATTTGTAGTTGTTGATCATAGGCAGCACTTGGGGAGGGGCACAGAAAGTTTGTATTGCAACTGCTTCCTGTGTATATAGCAACTATGTGAAAGGAGAGGTTAGGGTGGGTTCCTGTAGCTGGAGGAGGTCGGTGCAAATGAAGCCTTGAAAAGCAGGTGAGAGGGGATGGTAGGCACTGTGCTTGTCTCTCAGATCTTTTGGCTTTGAACAGGCTCCAGAATGGTTTTACAATTCTGGTAGAAATTGGAAACCACGCAACTTAAGGACAGCATCTAAAGTAGTTGTGCTTTATTGATATTCTATTTTTTATATACATATAATATATACTATATTGATACCTACCCCTGCCCCACTTACTTTTAAGCGTATGGGTTGGTTTTGTTTTTGTTTTTGATTCCCCCTGCAGTGCAACTTTTTCACTAACTCTGGATGATACCTGTAATTCAAAGAACTGTTGACTTGGAAACCTGTTTGTCTTGCAGCAGTAAATGAAAGGACTCAATGAAAGCATGACATGAAATTGGCCACCCTATCACCCCATGCCTGGGTGTGCTAACTAGGAAGAGTAGTTTAAAGACACTTGCTTAACAGTTTCTTTTGCAGTGCCTGGAGACAACTTGTCTTTCTATTGTAGGTGTGGAGGGTGCAGCTTTCCAGAGTAGACTTCCACATGACCGTATGACTTCTCAAGAGGCTGCCTGCTTCCCTGATATAATCAGTGGCCCCCAGCAGACTCAGAAGGTGTTTCTGTACATCAGGAACCGCACTGTAAGTGTGTTGTCAAAGTGTTGATGCAAAAAGAGGTTGTGTGCCTTGCAAACACTGTTTGGCAGTTACCATGTCTAACAGGTGGTAGATTGTCTTGGTTTTTGGGGCAGTAGAGTTTCTCTTCTGGCATCCTAACATTCTCTGAGTTGCTGAGGAAGGTGCTGTCCAGTTCTTGATGAAAGCAGTGCTGTGAGGCAGCATAAGGAATCTGTAGTGTATTCACAATATCAAACCAGTTGTAACAACCATCAAAACTACATGACTCTGCTAATGCAGCCTTTGCAAAGGAAACAGAAAGCTGGTGCAAATGTTCTGTTACTTGGTCCCAGCTTAAAGAAATCTTCTGTAGGTTACTTGAGTTAGTAATGAAATACATCGTTGCTTAGTGTAACATAAACCTTGAAGCTTTTTTTGCTTATCTTTGCTTAGCATTCAGTTGCTGAATTACTGAGACATCAAGCCAGTCATATGGCTTATTCTCAGACCAGAACAGTTACTTTGCCAGCATTGATTTCATAAAAGAAATAAATGTTGAAGTAGTGAAACTCTGCTTCTGGATTTTTGTAGCCTTTCTGCCCAATTCAGAAATTCCATGCAGCTTCAGAAAGAAGGAGCAGTATGCAAATTGTTCCTGGGAAGTTTACCCCCTTGTGTTCAGACAAGCATGCCTGAAGTTTAAACATTAATAAAACTTGGACAATAGCATTCTGCTTTACAGTTTGTCTCAATGCTTTTAGGGTCCTCAGGACACAGAACAGGGATCAGGGCTGTCTCCTCTACTTTGAAGAGAGTGTTTAGGAAAACATGTCATGTTAGAAAAATTAACAGTAGGAAAGCAAGAAATATTTTGAAAGCTGCTGTATTACCACAGTTAAGAAAGAAAATACCTTTGCACTGTTCAGATTTTTCCCCAGACTGGAGATGGGCAAAGGGCGTCATGGTGCCTTGGCCATAGGAGCACCTGGTGCTTCGTAAATTAAAGAAGTTATCTGAAATTTACGTGTGGTTGACATCTGCATGCTGAGAGCATGACATCTGCAATTCCTGTGACTTCTCCCTCTAATTCACCCAAGTTGTAACTGAAGGAAGTTACGAGATGTGTAAAAGCAGCCTGAAGCATGCCAAAAAGTCTGGAAAAGAGTTGGCTCAAAATGAAAAGTGAGTGATCCTTGGACAAATGTGTTAGAAGCAGAAAAGCCTTCACTGAAATTGAGAAGTGACTGGGGACAAGTATTTGCAGGAACAAGCAGCATTGCTGGTCTATGGGCCTTAAGCACTGTGGAGGAACTTGGAGAAGTTCCTGAGCAAGAGTCCCCTGGAAAGAAGGCTTTTGAGAGAATCTCCTCCAGTAAGGATAGCAGAGGTTATGGAACAACTGGCATGAGTGCAGTGCTCAGCAGAGCTGGGTACTGCAATGTGTAGCCTCTTCCCTAGAGCTAGAATCAAGGATTGAGTCAATGACCTGGTAAGTAAAAACAGTTTTGAAGACTCATGGTAGCTTTTACAAAGGGAACTGAATCCTTTACAGTCCATCAGAGTTCTTCATAGGAATCATGAGAAAATGAATAAAGGAGATCCACTTCATGTGATCTTTTACATTAATCCCTCCCCCCACAAAACAGCAACAAAAATCCCCCAACCAACCAATGCAAAAAACCCAACCCAAACCAGTAAAAGCTCTTCCTAAACCTCTGTGAGCTGAAGCAGGTGATGTCAATCGGCAAAGCACAATGCAGGATCTGTGATCTGTTGTGGCACTTGTGGTTTGAAGGCTTTTAAATCTTCTAAGACCTGTGTCATTGTAGAGGATCTCAAAATCAGTACTTGTAAGAAAAAGAGAAAGGTCATTTGCTGCACACGCTAAGTTATTTTAGGTAGAAAACTGAGGCCTACGAAAGACTTACGAGTTACTGGATGATAGCATAGCAGGTGAAATTAATTCTAAATAAAAGTAAAGTAATAAGAATAATAGAAGTAATTGTGCATGTGTACATATATTTATGTATAAAAATATAAATTATAGGCTCTGCACT